TTGGAGCAATAGTTAACCTTAACGAATACTGTCTTACTCATACCCAATTCTCTTGAAGTAAATAAGATCCAGAACAAAGAGATTATCCTTGTCATCAACTCTTCTTAAAAAAAATCATTGGATCTTAACTGTTTCATTGAAAGTATAGGGATATAAAATTGCCTGCTTGCTCCACATGAAGCTCCCCTGTGCATGTAATTTTTTCAAAAATAAAAAATCCCTGCACATCTTACTCTTGCACACCATGTCTGATCCTTGATGCATTCACAAGATGCTTCCACAACGCAAGACTCTAGTTCACACAGGATTTGAGAGAAGTTATGCTTTGATGATTTGGGGGTAATAAGATTGTAATTTACATAGTAGTTGACTTGTTCGTTGGTCTTGTAAATCCCTTCAAGCAACGCATTGAAGAAGACCAATATAATTATCGATCGTCAGTATCAAGAACTTTGGACTTCCTTCCGAGGAGGGATGAATTGTGCCAGCTAACACCTCCATCCACTCAAGCTAGTCGTGCCATTCCCACAAGTTTGCGGATTTGAAACTCCAGAGCACTATAGGAATTCAGCTACACTTTGTTAGTGCCTGCAAAGTTAATCATTCTGAGAAGCTCCATTTGTTGTCGTATGACGCATTGTTGTCCTATAATTTATCTAGGTCCTCGCAAAGTCCCTTTCTCTTCTTTTTCTTTCAGAATATCATCTTCACACTTAAATTGAAAAAATACGAATCACCTGTTTTCTAATTTAATTGTATAGACCGAATCGTTGATGGCGAAACGACGAAATTTGTTGCTGCCTTCAGGCTTCGGTTATTCATGTAAGAGTCAATTAACTAATTTAAAAAAATTATTAAATTAGTTAATTATAATATGATTATGATCATGTAATATTAAATCATTTATTAATTTATAAGAGTAAAAATTATTCCTCTAATTCTATTTATAAGACAGAGAAAAGGTTTTTTGGAGTTCTATTTACAAGTCATTTCGTTAAATTTTTAACGTAAATATATTATTTTGTCCTTCATTTATTATAATATAGATGTCTAATTTTTTTTTAAACATGTATATATTAAATAAGATAAAGTTGAAAAGTTATTATATTTTAATGGAGAGTTAACGCGATCTGTGTAAAACATGCTAGAAGTATCTTATAAATAAAATAAGAGGAATAGTTTAGAGAAACTAAATAGTAAATATAAATACTTTAAGATAATTTTTTAAATTTTTAAATTTTTTTAAATAAATTAAGTGGATTTTATATCAAAGAGGCATTTGACAAACTTTAAAAAGCACTTTTGGACTTCAAGCCATGGTTTGGCTTGAAAACCATCCAAACACCGACCGTTTTAAGAATTACACCGATAATTTCAACAACGGCACTCAGAACACTACTATCATCACTGTGACAGGTGGCATCCAACGACTCTTTCTTGGACATATGTATCTTCTCCCGTGTAACTACATGTATGTATGACAAACGCCCCCAATAATTGAGTAAAATCAAACCGTAACAAAAAACCAAACCAAATTTAATTTCAGTTTTTCAGTTTAGTTATTTCAGTTTTTTATTATATATTTGGTTTTTATTTTTTTAACAATTTGACTTCAATGTTTGGTTCGATTAATAGAAAAAAATCAGTTAAAACCGAAAAACCAAAATAAATATGTTATATTTTATATTTAATAAATTTAATAAATATTATAAATAAACATTAAATATATTTATATTCAATAAATATAGTTATAATAAACATTATTATAATAAATCACATTGAATGAAAGAATATTTATTAATTAATGGTTGTAATTGTATTTTATTATTATTTTATTTAAAATTACTTTACGCATTTATATATTTCGTTTAACCGAACCAAAATATTTTGATTAATTCGGTTTCAATTAGATTGATTAATTGGTTTCGATTCGGTATTTAAAATTACTCTATTCAGTTATTCGGTTAATTCAGTTACCACCCAAAACTAAACTAAAAAACCGAATATTAACCCCTACTTATAACAAGAAGATTCTGACGCCCATGAAGAAAAAAGAGAAGGTTTGTTGCCCAAACAAAAATAGGAAGGGAAGGTTCAGTAGAATTATTTATAATACTTGGTGTCTATAATTTTGACGTAAAATTATCAATTTTCTAAAAGTATATTTAATTTTATATTTATATACACAGTACTTATTCGTTAATTATATAACTAATAAATTAAGACAAGGGGTAGTATGATTTATTATGTTGAGAAAAATATATTATTTACAAATTTATTATTTCAAACAAATATAAATTAAAATATATCTTTTATATAATTATCATATTAACTTTTGTTCTTTGTAGTAATCTGCACATCAAAATTTTTCTTCTAACAACAACTATCCAAACACTCTTATTTTATCAAAGTCATTTTTTTGTAAAATCTATTCTTTTAAAATTTATTCTCAAAATATATTTTTTTTTTCAAAAACTATTCTCTAAACTATAGTTTGGTTTATTCTCTAAGCAATTCCAAATACTGCTTAAATTCGTCCGTCCATTCCAAATGCTGATTAACCCAACGATACCGCCGCTGCATAAGTTCGTCCGTCCATTCCAAATAATGGTTACCCGAACGACGCCCCCGCTCAATAAGTTCGTCGGTCAATCCAAAGCAGGTCACACGATAGCAACGTTCCTTCTGGTGGCTGATGGACTGGTGAGAAGATATTCCCTCCCCCCGCTCCGTAGTCGTGGCATCCTGCAATATGCACGCAATAAAATGCACTAAGCACTATGCAGTTCAAACATTCTCATTACTTTATTTAACTCCCTCACTGGTTATTCCCAACTTACGGCGATAATTTCAACAGCGGCACCCGGAACATCACTATCATCACTGTGACAGGTGGCATCCACCGACCCTTTCTTGGACATACGTATCTTCTCCCGTGTAACTATATGTACGCATAATACATTAGTTATGGTATGATTAAATGCAATTGTTTTGTTAGCTGAGACAACATATGCATTACAAGCGCACATAATGGGAACAAATGTTAGGAGTACTATGTTACTTGGTGAGGTACAAGATAGAAAAACAATGATAAAATCCCTCAAGCTGGGGGCAACACCCAGCACAATATAATGGCGTCAATAACGCTCAGATAAAGTTATTGGTTAAGATTGAATAAATAGTTGTCCACTTTACCTTCTATCCCGTCACATCCCGCGCTTAGAATCAAGCGTAGTCTTGTACCCCACACCAACCGATCCAAGTTGTAAGCCACATGAAACAGCAGCCCCGAGTATTCAAAACCAATTATCTGCCGAAGTTCCAGCTCCCTCGAGTCTTCACAAACAAGTATCTGCCGAAGTTCTTCAAAACTAAGTAAAGGAGTTGAATTCGCTGCTGCAATAGTAGCACCAGCTGTGTTATACTCCCTTTATCATTTTCATAAGAAATAAATAACTAATTCTGAAGTATACTAATAGCTAAAGGAGTTGAATTCAATAAATATCTTTCAAATGTACATTTCTTTCCCCAAATGTCCTCATTCAGTAATTAATTATTGGGTTTCACTATTTGATCTCAATAACAAATACAACTTTTTTTATCTGGGTAAAAAAAGAAAATTGTAATCAATGTTTGAGAAAATCTCCCAAAAAAAGTATGAATATATCTGAACTGACATTTTGAAAATGTTGTAAAATTACACAAATGTGACAAAAAAAAAGGCTACAAAAGTTGTTATTTCTAGTTCCATTTTTGTCTTTTTCAGATCAAACATTTGTCATTTCAGTGTACAACTTCTCAATTAACTAACTAAAATAATAGAGAAAAAAAAATATCAAACTTATAATTTTCAGTTCTATTGATGTCATTTATAACTGCCTGCATTCCTTATGTGTTTTAGCAGCGGTCTGTCACCGACAACCGCTATAACCGACGGTGAACTTTTCTTTGAACACTGGACCTCTTAAATAGTGGTAATAAAGGCCGCACAGTCACAAGTTTTGCATAATCACCACCATCGTCCAATCTTGCACACTTCGCGCTTTCTTTCTTATTTTTTTTGGCTTCAATCTTGATCACTCCTCTCAAAAATGTGTTTTTTTGTAACAATCATAATGACAAATATTTACTACAAGATGAGAATGATTGATTCACCATAAAAGTATGAGCTGCATCCATAACTTCTAGAAATTAACCTCTAAGCAAGAAGACCGACAAGTTTGATTAAGAGATAGCATTGCAAACGTCACGTAGCTCCAAGAACTTAACACCCAACATTCTAAAATTGTAATGGCTCCCCATACAAGGGTCCCTTTTTCATTATATTGTTGAAGTTTTCCAATAAAGATTATGACTGAAATTCAGCCATTAGGATCAGTTACATTGATATCTTCTGATTAGCACATATCCGATCATTATATGATAACAATACATACACATAAACTGATGTATGGGCCGAAAAAAGAAGAGGAAAAAAAAGAGAAAAAAAAAACATTAACCGATATATTCATTTGTGTAACTGACAAAGATATTGTCCTGCAAAAGATGGAACATAGATCTATGCCTGCAGACAGATTTTTATTAATTTCAAAGACTCAAAATTTGACTCAAACTCAATTAGTAAATTAGCTGGAATATTAATCAATAAAAGAGCATTCACCTTCACAAGAAATTCCAAGCTGGCATCATACTTTTTGTGTTTACATAAAGCACATAAAAATCTAAATGAGCTCTATTGATAACTGAATTCTTGAATCAAACTTGACAGGAAATTATTAGAGTCTAGTTGAGAAGCGGTGTCAAAAACACAGGATAATTTTGCAGCAAACGGTAACAACTTTAGTGTCGAGTGAAAACCGGTTTCAAGGCAAGCAAAGAAACTGATTTCATTTACATTAATAACTCATTATTAAAGTGGTGTGCCAGCACGAACACATCCCTCAAGCGATGAACAAGATACAACCAAGATGATTAAATCAAGCTAGAGAAAAAGATGGTACCTTCCATCAGTTTGAGCAACCGGCCATTCCAGTAAAACGATGTGCCCCGAAAATAGATTATATGGTCATTTCGCATCGTTTCAACCTGAGACAGAGAAATATCAGGGTTTGTGAACCGCATATTTTCAATGCTGCTGCTTTCTTCCTCATAGACATGAATTCCAGACAAATCTATTTCCATTGTTGGGATTCCATTGTCGTCTGAAATTACCCTATGAGGATCATATGGCCTGTGGTATTTCAACTCCCACGAAACCTGAACATGATTCCATTTATGTGTTGAAATCACCCTATTGTGTTTGCATCGCAAGCCACACCAAATCATATGTTTTGGCATTTTTTGTTCATAAATTATGTAATTACACAAATAAACAAGTTGTTCAGAACCATTGACAAACACTCTCAGCCTAATGTCCAAGATTGCGGGCTCTATTTCTGTGCCTGATGCCCCAATCACACATATGGCTATCTTTGGGAAATTCTCACAGAACCAGAAAGAAACTGATGATTCGCTGCTTGCACGGCAGGCTCTTAATGTTGTCTTTTTGTTCTCCAACAATGGGAGGGTAGTAGGGCGGTCCCCAAAAGGAGGACATCCGATGCTAGTGCTGGAAAGCGGATCAAAAGTAACCAAAGTTTGTGGAAGAGGAAATATTTGAACGAAATTTGTTTCGCTTTTGCTTATACAGTACCCATTAAGGCAGCGATCGAACTTAGCGTACCTTATACTTTGATTGCTAGAATCTGGTAGAGAATAGAGTAGAATCTTGGCCAAAGACGCTTCGGACCTCTGTTTTTCTTGAATTTCATACCCTCTAAATAATTGAAATCCTCTGCTCCTGTAAGACAGCACCACCTCGAGTTTGGGGATCATGAATATGCTGCCTGGTAGCTGTCTAAGCTGTGGACAACGCCTCAAGTATAGCCGTTTCAATCCAATAAGGTTTCCAATTGAAACTGGAAGTTCTTTTATGGCAGTCTGATCCAAATAAATGTCTCTTGTATTCTCCATGAGTCCCAGTACTTCTGGGAACTCCCAAAGACTTGAGCAACCCCTGAGATCCAGAGTCTCAAGAGAAGTCATATTGATGCGAGTTGCTAACATTTCAAGCTGAGTGCAACCTTGGGCACTCAACAATCTGAGCCTATCAAGAAACCCAATTGATTCGTGAATACTAATCAGATTTGTACAATTATCAAGACACAACGCTCCCAAGTTAGGCAGTCCAGATAGCTTAGGTACTCGTGTTAAGAATTTACAACCTTCAAAATCCATGAGACATAAAGAATGAAACACCTGCAAAATGATCAAAATTAACTTACCACTAATATATAAGACCAGTGGAATATATGAAAATAGCTAGGAAAAAAAATAAAATCTACACATGCCTTTGGTGGTTTGAAAAATTGAAGGCAGCATTCAGGTAGGCTGAGTATGAGAAGATTCCTGGGGTTAAAATCAGATGGTAAAGATGATGACGGATATCCACTCCAGTCCAATACTCTCAAAGTATTAGGGAGATATTCGGGGCCTCTGGAAAAGCGTACATTTTCAATAATAAGGATTCTCAGGTTTTTCATCTTCTCGAATGCCACTCCACTCCATTGCACTTCTTTATATTTGCATGAGTGAATCATTATGACTTCAATTTTCTCACTTCCCTTTGAATGCCAAAGCATAAACAAACCACACAGATTTATCAGGAATGTCATATCCATATTCTCACATTAACCACCTAACTGATTTTATTCATAACACTCCTCTGGTACTTAACATAGAACCTAATTGGGCAATTAATGTTGGTCCTATATATATCACCTATTTCACACCTATTGATATTTCCTTAAAAATAATTAAGTAGGAGAGAGAAGAAATTAAGGAAAGTACTTATGATGTTTTTAGGGAAAAAAAAAAACATATCATATTAACAATTTTAACTAACATTAAAAAAACTAACATTATTAATCTACTCAAATTTAATAATTAGATCTTATATTAAGGATAAGAGGAGCATGTTGAGCTTCAGGCAAATGTTGACAGCACGATAAAGTGGCAAGAAAAACTATTTGAAAAAAAAAATGATCCATTTCATCTTCACCAAAATAGTTCATAGGGAAAAAAAAGTAAAACCATGGAGACCATTCTAGTTTACCGTGTTTTCTTCCAAAACATGAACAATGTCCTCATCAAGCCACAACCTACTACGCTTGCCAGGCTCAGATGTTGATTCCAGTCTAACAATTTCTCTGCCCATGTCTTGAATTAAGTCGTGCATTCTCACACAGTTTGAACTATCGATCTTGATGAGAGATTTCTCCAGTAAGATTCTAATTCCAATGTCTCCGTGTAAGCCATGTGCACACAGTATTTCCTTGGTGTAAGTCAGTTCTAATTTATTAAAGAAACAAGCAATATCAAGGAAAATTTTCTTCTCATTCTCTTGCAAACTATCATAGCTTACTTTCAGGATTTCATGGACATCTTCATGAGGGGTTCTTGCGTACTTGTCTAGCTGAGAATTCCATTCTTCTATACTTCTATCAAATAGGTCAGACCCTATTACTTCCAAAGCCAACGGAAGGCCACCAGCATAGGAGACTGCACGTTTAGAAACGTCCATGTAATGTGGATCAACCATGTTATTCTTAAAGGCATTCCAGCTCAGCAATTCAAGGGATTTATTGAAATTTAGCCCCTTCACCTCATATAATTTTTCTACCCCATGAGTACTAAGCAAATGTTTATCTCTTGTCGTGACAATGATCCTACTGCCAGATCCAAACCAATCACGTCCTCCGGCAAGTACCTGCAACTGTTTAAGCTTATCAATATCATCAAGAATCAAAAGAACCTTCTTCCGGCGGAGCCTTCTTTTTATGATTGAAATTCCGCTATGAACATCTCCAAGTCTGAGATTTTTTTCTGCAACTACTTGAGAAAGTAGCGTCTCTTGAAGTTGCACAAGTCCATGCACGCCAATAGCCTTCTGTCTAATATCAGCAAGAAAACATAGACCTTCAAATTGATCACCGATAAGGTTATAAACAGCCCGTGCAACTGTTGTTTTACCTACTCCACCAATTCCACATATCCCTACCATGTTAATCCCCTTATCAGACTCAAGTTCCAGAAGTGAGATCACTTCTTGAACGGACGATTCCAGTCCAACAGGGTGATTAGCTATATGTAAAGGAACGCGATTGATCTTTTTGGATACCTCTTCAATGATCCCACTTATAAATTCATATTCAGGTTGAGATCTGCGACAGGGCAGAAAATCATGTGAAGTGAATCCAAAGTTAGTAGCCAAATTTAGTGTACACTCCCTACATCAGGATTCATTTTAGTTCCACTCTTTGAAGAAATAAGTATGAAAAATAACAGAAAGTTGCGGCGAAATGTACCCATGTTGGAAATGCCAGCCAGATAAGTTAGCCGCCACACATAAAGCCTCCCTCCACTTCCTCACTTTCTCCTTGTTGGCTTGGAATCGATCATCGTGTTTTGCCAACGCCTGTCCGTAACTCCCACGCTGGTGTCGGACATCTGATGGATCAACATCGTAGAACACCGGCCAGACCAACCGACCTTCTCCTCTGACGCAGTGAAGTATGTTGACGAGTTCATCAAGGCAGAAAGTAGAGGATGCATAATTTTTGGAGAAAACGATGACGGCAATCCTCGATTGTCGGATGGCTTCGAGAAGAGCTGGAGTGATTTCTTCCCCTCTTTGGAGACCCACATCATCGATGAAGGTTTGAACACCCTTTTGTTTTAGAGAATTGTAGAGATGGCCAGTAAAATTGGTGCGGGTATCTTCACCTCTAAAACTAAGGAATACATCGTAAGTCCATTCACCGGCAAAGGAGGGGGATGGTAGTTCTCGACTTGCCATGATAAATAAACGCTGGGACTGGTATTTGCTGCTTTGCTGGGAACTAGGGATGCCTCTGGCGTCAGCTGAGAGACTCAAAGTTCGATAGCAGGGTAATCAATCAAAGCTTACCAACCTGCGGCAGAACTCGCACAGCAGCAACGGCGATCTAGGAAGGAAGTTTCGTTTCACTTCTCTCTAATTATAATTCACCAGACACCACAACTTATCAGTTTCTATAGTTGAATGTGACAACTACTTTTCCCCACCAACGGTTGACTGAGAAGACCTGACCAAAAGACTTTTCCCTTATCTTTTTTTTCCCCCCTCCTCTTTTTTACTTCCAGGCCCTCCAAGTTTGAGTTAATTTCAAGAGCAACACAGGAGCCAGTGTTTGCCAGGAACTACGTATGCCTCTGAACTCTGATATCAGCTGAGAGACTCAGAAGTTGAGAGCTGAGAGAAAGATGAAAGGGTAGTAACCTGCCATGCAATTGTGGCATTACAGGGGCAAAACCCTCATGCATCACAATTTTTCGTTTTTCATGCTTCCTTCTTTTAATTTTGCTCTCAATCCTGGCTTCATATGTTCATGGCATATAATCCTGGGGATAACTCGTTTTGGTTTGGGTGAAAGAATTCATGGAAATGGGGCCAATATTAGTTATATATTTTTTTTTAAGTAAAAATAAGCTAAATTTGCAAATATGGGGCCAAAATTAGTAATAAATTAAATTTGCAAATAGAACGAGTTTCTATGCTCAAATTCGACAGTGATCCCTTTGCGTGCATGCAAGCGTTGAAAATGTATTAAAAGAAAAAAACCTGTCACTTAGATAATTTGTTGAGAGTTACCATAATAATTTGAGTTTTTTTATTTTGAATTTCTGATAAATTTATATTCCTTAAAAATTACATATAATTAGTAAAGAATATGATTTGCTAAAGTTCATATATTAATATGGATATATGAATTTTTATTATCATTATTGTTCCTAACTCGGTAACTCGTATGTGTTATCGCTTAACAGATTTTTCTTTTGCTCATAACCAACAAAACTTTAATTTTAGTTGCTGCTTGATAATTCTTCATATCTTTTTTTTTTTTTTTTTTTTGCCTGAAGATAATTCTTCATATCATGGTTACAGCAAAACGTCGATATCCTTAAAATTTCTTAAAATCAAGAGACATTTTCTTAATACAATTTTATTTATATTACCAAATCAGCATTTTCTGTACAGACGAATTTTTCACCTAAGTTTTTTTTAAAATAATAATTCTCACTTAGATTCTTTATATATTGAATTTTGAAATTTACTTAAAGAACAAGATCTTCTAGGCTTTTCACCATTTATCACATTTTCATTGGTCATTGTTTACTTAAAGATAGCTCTATTCAATTAATTTAAATATATTAAGAAAATTAAATAAATTAATTAATTATGAAACATATAAGGAAAAATTACAATCAGTTCCCGCCTAAGAGAATTAAAAACAAAAAATCCTTGGAAATCATCAAATTATTCTAAAGTCCTAAGGGATCTCATTACAAAAAGATCCTTTGAAATCATTTTTTTTAAAATATGCATTAACATCTGAAAGTGCAGTAGTTAACAATTTAAGATGTAATAATTAATAACTATTACAGTAGCTATTGACCACTCATGTATTATATTTTTGTGATGTGTTAAAACAATTTGTTGTTAATACCTACAGTGATAATAGTTAATTGTTACCCCTTAAATTGTTAACGACTGTTTTTTCAGTTGTCTATTCATACTTAAAAAAGGGGGCAATTTGGGATTTCAAAATAATTTGATGATTTCAAAAAATATCTTTGTATTTAATTCTCTTGAGTGAAATTTTACTGCAATTTTCCCAAAATATAATATAAATTTGTAAATTGCAAGATACTCATGTGTAACAATAAATTATACTCCTCCGGTCCTAAATATAAGACTCATTTTATAGTATATGAGATCTATTTTATAGTATAAATTATACTATAAAATGGGTCTTATATTTAGAATCGGAGAAAATACTATGTTTGGTTCTTAGTATAAAACTCAATTCATTAATTTGAAAAAATTAAAGAAGTTATTACATTACTTTAAACTATTTGTATTTATCATTTTTCTCCACACAAATTTGCCTCACTTATAAATTGATATATGATCTAATGATCCATATAAATTTTTTAGAGAATCACGTAACATGTGATATAATTAAATAATTTAGTAACTTTTTTAACCTTCCTAAATTACTTAACTGAATCTTATATCAAGAATTGTTGGTAGTATATAAACTTATGAGTTAAGTAAATTAATTTTAAAAAAAAATAAATATAAAAAATGTTATATTTAACGTTAAGTGCAAATCCCCAGCTGTAAAGAATGAGAGTATTCAGCCATTGGCCGTTTGGCCGAGTGGCGTGTGTGTGGGTGCGTGTGTTGCAGGTTTGATCCCGCCCTGATGTAATTCCAAAAAAAAAAAAGACTGAGAGTATCCAGTACGAATGAAGCATGGGACCGAATCCGTTGGAACGCTTTATTTCTTTTTTTTTTTTTGGGACCGTAGACAAAATGATATTCATAATAAATTCAAACCAATTGATACACTGCAAACCTGCAAAATCTACCAAGAATATCTGATTTATATATGCATTATCTTCTATATAAGAACTAGTTTAATATCTAAATTAGTTTTAAATTTAAGATTTCAATTTACTTTATTTCTCATATTTACCCATTTTTTCTTAAAGTAGTTTTTGTAGTAATTACACATATTAAATATTTTACCAGATGATAATTCTAACTAATAGATATGGTTAATAAGGATATTTTAAGAAAAATAACATCTATTTATTACAAATAACTAACTTAAATAATTTTTTTAATCCACTCAAATAAGTAAAATACAAAGTCATCCATTTTAGTATAAAATTCGTTCGTTTTGGGTGATGAGCAGTTAAGCCCTACCCGCAAACTTATTATTGACCATCCATTCCACAATTAAAATTAATGCATTATTAAATAAAAGCATCACTTGCATGATTTTAAATTGAACCTTTTACTATTCAAGTGATTATGATATGCTTAAAACTGAATCACTGGAGTCGTTACACCTAAAATCAGCAAAATATGCTTAAACTTTATTCTTGCATTTCTTAATTCACATATACGTCTTATATATGAAGAGGATGGCCTTAATCTGTTCATGACTTTAAGCATACAAATTTTTCGATTCGTTCGGCACATGAGATGTCTAATTAAATTATTATTAATCTAAGAATGTTCATCCCTTTAATAGATTATTCTTCATCTTCATTATATCGATATTAATATTTAATACTCTACTTCAACTTATTCTTTTTACAGGATACAAGTGATCGAATTATATGTGATTAAAATTAATTAAAAGTAGTAAATATCTAAAAAACGCACCTTATCTTTTAAAAATACTTTTTTTTTTCAGAGGGAGGTAGTGTGAGATAATTAATGTAGTAAGATTAACAAATAATTACCGAGGCAAAAAAAGAATTATATTAAAAAAATTTGATAAATTATTAATGTATTTTAGAAATGAAAACATTTCATTCTAAAAATTTTTCAACCAAAAGCATATATTTGATCCTCTCATTCTATATAAAGTTTCAGTTTGATTCATTAACTTAAAAAATATATCTTTAGTTCTTTAATTATAAAATTATTGTTAGTTTTAAATGATGATTTTTTTAATAATCATAGTTATTTTAAAATTTAAATTTAATATATCAGTGTTTAAGAATATTTTAATTAACATTTAAGATCTCAATGTCATCAACTTTTGTTAATAATTTTTTGAGTTAGATGATTAAAAATATACTTTTTAAAATTAACAGAAAAAACTAAATCCTTATATAAAATTAAAGAACTATAAATGCATTTTTTGCGAAATTTTTTATGTAAATAGGACGAAGGCATTAATTATGGAAATGTGATAGCATTTGTCGAAACGAAAACCGTTAAGTTGTTAAAAAAAAATTATAATTCGAAGTTACGTACTCTTTAACAGTTTTATAAAGAGAAGGTCTGGCCGTTGAGTTTAGCGCCATTGAAACGCAATCACTAAATTCACTATAAATAAACTGATACACTACCTAATACTGTTTCGATCAGCCGTTATTTAGGTGCAGTGTTTACGTATAAACAAATAATCTCGTACCTTATTCTAATTGTTTTATATAATTTTCTAATCTAATTCTAATTCTGACCGTCGCAAGCTCTTTCTCTGTCTCTGTCTCCTCATCTGTTCGTCTTTTTGAAGCAATGGTATAGAATATGGTATGATCACATTTCTGAATTTAGCTTTCGAGATTTCAAGCAACCAGCCCACTTTTGGGGTTCTTTTGCTTTTGAATTGGCCGATGGCGCAGTTTCGTTCCTGATATTAACTGTCCCTTGCCACTACCGTGTTTTTTTGGTGGTAAGAACCATTAGCATATGATTGTTGTGTGTGTGAGAGGGGGGGGGGAGAGAGATGTTTTTTTTTTTTAATGGTTTTAGGAGATGGTAAATGCAAGGGTGAGACAAGCCAGAAATAAAGTGAATGGAATCGTAGAAATCATTCTTCTTCGAACGAAATCGCTAATGGGCACTGTTTTGGATGGAAAATCAGTCAAGCTATGTTCAGTCTATGGGTCAAGAAGAATTCGGACAAGGAGTTTTTGGGTTGTAATGCCACTTCGGGAACCCAGGATTCTGTGTTTTCTATGCACGCAATGCGGCTTTTTTTCACTTTTTTCCTCGAAACATCACTGGTTTTCTGGTTCATTATTGCTTTACGCCTTATCTTGTGCTTTTTGACGGGGTGATTCAAGGCTGCCGGAAAACAGGTTATCAAAAAGTGCAAGAAAGAGACGAGAGAATGCTGATATTCCTTTGCGTTTCTGCAATTGTTGCTTGTTTATTTATCTTTGGGGATCCTTTACTCGCAAGTGTCACTCTTAGCTGAAATTTAGCTGTTTTCCTGGTTGAAATTTAT